GCAAATACTGGGCGGGGCTGTAAAGTTGGTGGTAGTACTTGTTATCGTTATTGTTTTCTGTTTGCTTCCGCTGCATCCCAGGTCGCTTTGTGCGTTGAGCTGAACAGTATAAGTTCCCGGGCCGGGATAAGTCGTCACCGGGTTTTGCGCGGTGGATGTCTGGCTGTTTCCGAAATCCCAGGTATAACTGATGTTGCCGGGTCCGCCAGACTGATTTTGAAAACTTACAGTATAAGGTCCCTGGCAGGTTGACGGTAAAGTGTATCCAAAATCTGTATCTATTCCTCCGACAATGCGTATGTAACTAGCGCGGGTAGCGGTCGCTTTGCAGCCTGTTGAGCTTGTCACGCTTAACGTTACTGCATAAAAACCGATGTTGGTATAAGTATGAGAAGGATTTTGCTGATTCGATGTTGCTCCATCACCAAAATCCCAGTCCCAGGCCGTAATCGTTCCTCCGGGTGATGTCGACAGATCGGTAAAGTGTACGGTGGACGGAACGCAACCTAAGGTAAGGTCTGCAGTAAAATTCAACGACGGAGAAGGAAAAACAGTGATATAGTCGATCCTTTCCAGCTGCCCGATGCCATTAGCATTTTGTACCACTAATTTTACCGAATAGGTGCCTGGCTGACTGAAAGAGACAACCGGGTTTTGTACACTTGATAAAGTGCCATTGCTAAATTCCCAATTCCATGAAGTGGGACTGCCTGATGAAAGATCAAGAAAACTGACGGTTAAAGGAGCGCATCCCGAAGTAACATTTGCTGAAAAGTTGGCAACAGGGTTTTGAGCCGAAACTTTGGTAATTCCGGTGAAAAAAAATGCGAATACAATCAATGTTTTCGCAAAGAATATATTTAGCCTGGTACTCAGTGTTCTGGTTTGGGATTGTCCGTTTCTCGTTCTGCAAATATTATTCCTAAGGTTCGGTATTGCGTAATTATAACCGGCTTTCTGATTAAAAGGTTGCCTGGTGGCGCTAAACTGAAAAGGGGAAACATATTAAGGGGAAATTCGACAATAAATAAAGGGAAACGGCGTTGCTTACTGTTTGTCAAGCCTCATGGTTTTTGTTTCTGCGCCGACCGTTTGAGTAGCGACTACGAAGGTCCAACTGCTGTTATCAATATGCCAGCTTCCATTAATAAGTTGAAGGGGTGCAGCAACGCCTGTAAAACT